TTAAGAGGAGCCCTAGTGGCGAAGTGGTTAAATGCTCGGCTGCCAACCAAAAGGTAGGCAGTTCGAACCCGTTAGCCACTGTGCGGGAGAAAGATGTGGCAGTCTGCTTCTGTAAAGATTCACAGCCTTGGAAACCCTTTGGGGCAGTTCTCCTCTGTCCTGTAGTGTCGCTGAGTCAGAGTCGACTCAGCGGCAGTGGGCAGTGGGTTAAGGACATAACAGAAGTGAAGATGCTCAAAGCAGGAATAGGCTAAACTACACCTCACCCACGTGGCCTCCCTTCTGGAAGCACCTGACAATCCTCCAACGCTGACTCATTCTTTGGACGCAAAGAACCGTTGTCAGTCGGGGTTATTTCCTAAATCTGTGCTTGAAAGATGTTCTGTAGCTCTTTCTCTAGAGGTGGCAATTTAAAAGAGGACGGATTTTCATTTACCCAAAGGGAGATAGGACAAAACCAAAGAAAAAGGAAGGGAACCAAATTTGAGAGCCCGCTCTGTGTGGGGGCTTCACACAGGGTGTCATTCAGTCCTTACAAAAACTCTGCAAGGAGGTATTACTGTGCCCATTTTATAAACAATGAAACTGAGGCCCAGTACAGTTGAGTCACTTGCCCAGGGTCCCATAGTCCCCAGGTGGCAGAATTTGAATCCAAAATCAGCAGCGATCTCTGGTTCTAAAACTCACATTTCTTCCCTGCCACCAAGCAACCTCAGGTCTCGCGTTCGGTCTCTGGAAAAAGCAGCAGCTCCGCCTCTCTCCCCCTGACAAGTTTCAGTCACTACTGCATGAGGTGTTCTGCCAAATACTGAGAGAGTTTGTTTACAAAATAACAGTCTCCCAGCTTTCTCGGCGCAGTAACTGCCAAGGAGAAGGGAGCACTGCCACACTTCGCAAAGATCAGAACCCACGTGCATTTCACCTTCCGCACAAAACCAGGCCTCCACGCCCCAGCTGCTCCCAGGAGTTTAGCAGAAGGGTAGTAGAGTGCTTTCTGTAGCCCTGGAAATCCTGATAAGAGCTCTGAAATCTTGAGAACAAAGGGGATTATTGAGTTTGAGGTTTTGAAATAGTAAACTTCAAACAAATGATGAACATCTCTCAACCTCGGTTCTTTGTCTGTAAAATAAGCGGGGTATGGGACACTGGTGGTTCAGTGGTAGATTCTCACCTTCATGCGGGAGACCTGGGTTCGATTCCCGACCAGTGCACCTCATGCGCAGCCACCCACCCATCTGTTAGTGGAGGCTTGCTTGTTGCTTTAATGCTCCACAGGCTTCAGGGGAGCTTCCAGACTAAGACAGACTAGGAAGAAAGGCCTGGTGATCTACTTCTGAAAATCAGCCAGTGAAAACCCTACAGATCACAACGGTTGATCTGTAACCTATTGTGGACATGGTGTAGGAATGGGCAGCATTTCGTTCCGTTGTGCATGAGGTTGCCGTGAGTTGGGGCCTACTCGATTGCAGCGAACAACAACGTGGGGCTGCAGAGGGAGGATTCATAATGTATGTGCGGCACCCTGTACAGCACGAAGGGTCAGTAAACAATAGTTACTTTAGTCTTCATACTATAGAAGTCTCCCATTGGTCTCTGAGGTCCCAGCAACTTGCAGGGGGTATCTGCACTTTTATCTGGTCCACCTCAGTGCTAAAAATACAAGAACAAGTGACTCTCTGGGAGAATTAGTCATAGGGGTGAGACTCCTTCGGTGAGTTTCAGAAAGACAAAGGCCTCTGATGAAAAAGATCCAGTTAGTTCTTCATCACTGGTATTCTTTGCACACCTGGAATTTAGACCTGATGGTTTGGGCTCGCCTTTGGGAAAGAACTGTAAGTCAATAAAAAGGTAAAGATGAATCTGGTGGGAAAGAAAGCCAATATTTCTTCTATTCAGAAATATATAAAGAATCTCGTAAGGGTTATACTTAAGATACTCCACCCAGTGTTTATTCTAAAACATCACCTCATGTCTCCATTATAGCATGGATAAGGTAGCAAAAGTTCTGGCCACGTGGTCCAACCATATACTTGCATAACACTTTCATTTGTATCAGTTCTCACCTGAGTCCTGAGAGGGGCAGGTGGTATTGGCTCCATTTTAAAGATGAAGAAACTGAGGCACAGAGAGATCAAGTGACTTGGTTTCGACTCCTTAAGTTAAAGCCTCTTTCATCTCTATGCAAATGCTCTCCAAAATATTGAGGGTAACTTGAAAAACTTTCCTAGCCACCTAGCTTTCTAATTTGTAACTGTGTACAGGCTTTTTCTGACTCCCTCCAGGGTATCGTCATCTGGTAGTGGAACATGGCAATAGCAGATAAAATTGTATCTTCAGTACATACAAGTATGCTCTGCTTTAAAGACAACCCACTATTACGAAAGTCCTCCCCCAGAAACAGGTATACGAAGGCGTTGTTGTTGCTGTTGTTTTTAGCTGTCGTCAGGTCGACCCCCAACTCATGGTGACCCCGTGCACAGCAAAATGAAACGCTGCCTGATGGGTTGCAGATCAGACCATTGTGATCCATAGGGTTTTCACTGACTGATTTTCAGAAGTAGATTGCCAGGCCTTTCTTCCTAGTCCATCTTAGTCTGGAAGCCCCGCTGAAACCTGTTCAGCATCATATCAACACACAAGCCTCCACAGACGGATGTTGGCTGCACATGAGGTGCTTTGGCCGGGAATCGAACCTAGGTCTCCTGCATGGAAGGCGAGAATTCTACCCCTGAATGACCATAAGACAGGTCACAAGAGGCAGAAGGAAGGGGAGGAAGGGGCATTTGGAAGCTAATCACAACATTTTATAAAAGGTGGTTTGATCTGAGTTATCCCACTGTGCCATAGGAACAGACCAAATTAGTCCCTTTTGTCCTCAAATCTACCCATAATTTAAACTGGTTTCAGATCTCAATTTATCTGCCTGCGTGATGTGGATTGTGGCTCATTGCCTCTTACGTGGTTGCCATGGAATTTCCCCCATGTGGTTCTGTTTCAGTGAAATGAAGAGAAGCATTTGTCCAGGGGCAAGGAGAACACACGGGGGCAGGTGGGGAGGGTGTCAGACACCTGAGCAGCCTTCAAACTGCATTGGAAGCTGGGAATGAGTTCCATTCAGCAGGACCATCCTGGCCTGGCACAGGGAAGAGGAGCAGGATGGGTGGGATTTTGAGCTCAGAGTGTATTTATTAAATCAAGCTGCTTGGAAGGTTTATTGAGGTTTCAAATAGAATTCCTTCTCAAAAGATTCTCTTTGATGTTAACAGGTGACGGAGCTGGAGAGTGCTAAAAAAACCAGGGTCTGCCAGCCTCATTAGCACTGATAGGAGAATGCAGTCTCCCTCTCACCCCGTGTCAGGCCTGTCATTAAGCCGGAGAAGTGCTGCTTCCTTCATTAAGCCTGCCTTCCCCCTCCCAGGCTGCCCTCACAGGGCTCCTCAGAAAGGAGGCTCTGCTGTGTATAACGCAGGCAGACTTCCTCTGGCAATCATGAGTGGACTTCGGGTCTGTGAACCCCTGAAATGCATGTCTGATTTTGTGGGCTAAGAGTCTATGTCTCATCAAATTCTCAGAGGGACCTTCCTGAATAAAAATGAAGTTCCGATACTCTAGGGCTGGCCCTGGAAGGAACACTCTGGATAGAGGTATATTGGCAATGGAATCTTATAGAGTTGTTGCCACCTGGCTCCAAAGATTGCTTCCTGCTTCAGAGGTCTCTCACTGAAGGTGGTTGACACCATGTTCTGGCTTCAGAGGGACATCATTTTGTTTTGTTTTGTTTTTTCTTTAGCAATTAATTTGTATTAATGACCTATCCACTGCTTTCCCATAACACAGATGAAAGAACTGTTTTCCAGCAGGCCAGAATGATCTGGGAATTTATTTCAAAAATATTGATGACTGTGTCCCACCCTAAATATTCTGTTAGTTGTTGTGAGATGGGTCCCCCCCCACCCCGCTACACACACACACGATCCTAATATGCAGCCAGGAGTGAAAACACACACAGGGAATAATCACAGAGATTGACAACACAGGACTGAATTAAGGATGGCGAATAGTTTTCATCTGACCTGCCATTTTGGTGACTGGTTGTAATAGTGGCCCAAAATGCTCTGTTGTGAAGGTTTAGACCTGGTTCCCAGCTCAGATATTCTGATCCAGTGATAACATCGAGGGGCAGGGAAGTTGTCAGATCGTTTTCATCCTCGAACCAAATATATTGTTTGATGAGGTATAGTGTACTCATATTCAACTTCTTGTACCTTCTGGTTCCCCCACTCAAGAATGCATACAGCTCTAAAAGCCCCTTTGCAAGAGAATGAGACACACAGTGTAATGCCTTTTTACCAGTTCACTCTATGAGGTTGTACTTCTTTGAGTGACACCGAGATCCCCCCCTTCAGGGAAGACTCTTTTCCTTCTCAGGCTCTCAGAGGATGACAGTAATAATAATAATAATTCTAGCTGTCACTTATTGTATGTGTACTGTGTGCCAGGCCTTGTTCTAAATGTTTTTCATGTGTTAATTTAGTAGTCCCCACAGCAATCTTATGAGGACTGTATTATTATTATCTTCATTGTGCAGATGAAGAAACGAAGGCACAGAGGGCTTGAATAACTTGTCTACAGTTGTACAGTAAGTGGCAGAGCAGTTTGGTGCGGAGCAGCTCTTTTAACCACTGTGCTGTACAGCCAGAGTGCCTGGATGCTACAAATGGTTAACACACTCGACTTCTAACAAAAAGGTTGAAGGTTTGAGTCTACCCAGAGGTGCCTCGGAATAAAGGGCTGGTGACCTACTGAAAAATCGGCCCTTAAAACCCTATGGAGCACAGTTCTGTTCTGACACACATGGAGTTGCCATGAGTCAGAGTCAATGGCACCTGGTATGGTGTGGTACCGTACGGTATGGTACGGTATACAGCTGCTGAACATGCAGTCCCTTCATAAAGCTCACCATCAGAGCCAGGACATTACATGTCCTTTTCCCTCTACAGGCTTCATCCCCCCACCCCTCATCTTTGGGGCCGGCATCGACTCCACCTGCCTCTTCTGGAGCACTTTCTGTGGGGAGCAGGGCGCCTGCGTCCTCTATGACAACGTGGTCTACCGATACCTGTACGTCAGCATCGCCATCGCGCTGAAGTCCTTCGCGTTCATCCTCTACACCACCACGTGGCAGTGCCTGAGGAAAAACTATAAACGATACATCAAAAACCACGAGGGCGGGCTGAGCACCAGTGAGTTCTTTGCCTCTACTCTGACCCTAGACAATCTGGGGAGGGACCCTGTGCCCACAAACCAGACCCATAGGACAAAATTTATCTATAATCTTGAAGACCACGAGTGGTGTGAGAACATGGAGTCTGTTTTATAGTGACTAAGGAGGGCTAGACTCTGTTCTAGTAATCTGAGGGTCATTTTTCTTAAAAAAAGAAAAAGCGTTAAAAAAAAATACACACAGAGACACATGCACACACACACGTACACACTTGTACAGACATACACAAGCCCTTACCCACACACACTCGTACAGACATACACAAGCTCTTACCCACATGCACACACATACATACACATACAGGACCTCTGTCCTTTTTCTCAAAATCAGAGCCAGACAGGATTCAGAATAAGGAGAGGCTGGGATCATGTGTTTGCCATGCGGCCGGGGTCACGGAGAACGTGCGCACTGCTGGGGCCCAGAGTCTACTCTTGGAAGGCACCTCTCGGTTTTCAGGATGCCAACAGCTGCAAGCAACAGGCACTGCCAAATTCAGGGAACAGTGGTGGCCAGTTTGGAGGACGGACATTTCCGGATATACATACACATACAAAACAAAAAACCAACATTAAGGAAAAAGTCTACTAAAAAAAACAAAACAACCACACACAAGTTGACAGCATGGCCAGGACAAGCACTAGTGACACACCCCATTCCCCCTCTCCCTCCACGCTGGGGTGGGGAGGCCCACCCGCCGAGGAGTGGGAGCCCCATTCCTCCCTCTAACTTCTGCAATATGGGTCACTGTGTAGACGACTCACCCGGTCTGCATGTGGTTCAAGGCCCCAGAGTTCTCTCAGCGATGCTAATGGGTGATCCGTGCTGGAGTCTGTAATTGGCACCTCTCACCAGCTCCATTTCCATGTTCAAGACTGAGGGTCTCGGGGGGAGCCGAGTGTGGGGGGCGAGCACCCAACCTCCCCCCTGCAGCACCCCCAGTGGTGGGCACCCACTCCCCCCAGCCCCACAGAGTGACCTCAGGAAGCACAGGGCCTCACCTGGCTATGACTGACTCCGCTCAGAGCCGTTGAGACCCAACCTAGTCCAAGACATTTGCTTACGTTTGCCAAACATTTTGCCATTTTTTAAAAAGAAAACAACGCATATGAATTTCAAACTGTTGTATGTATTATCCTCTAATACAATTTTTACTACTTCTAAAATCTGTGTTAACCCTTCCGTCACTAACACAGTTCTCTAGGCCGAATTTACTACGCTGGTTGCTTTTACTTTTCTCCTTTTTTAATGCACCAAAAAATATAATGTGATTCAAGGGATGCAGTTAATCTATTGTAATTTTTATCATTTTATCCTCATTCAGATACTCTACAAAAACAGTAAGAAAATACAATGTTACAAGAAGGGGTGGGTGGGGGGTATGCTTCAAAAAGAGAGTGGATATGCAGCCTGCCTTTAAAAGAATCACATTTGAGACATCAGGGGATAATGTGATGAATTGCAAATTTGCCTTCTCGCTTTATTCCCCGTGATTCAGTGATCACTGTCATGGGAAGGCCTTTTATATTCACACTGCACATTCTGAGAGGCGTGCTTTCCAGCTGGTGGGGGAGACACACTTGGTTGTGGGATTGTGTGTATGGTTTCAGACTCGGTGTGGTGATTCTGGGGATAGAAAAGAGAGAGAGAATGGTTCCCTGCCCCAGCTGTTGAGCAGTCTGTGGTGATGAATAGACCGACAAGCTCCTGGAAGCTCCCACATGTCCCGTGCGTGAAAACGTCAATGATGTTTTCAGGGTCAATCTTGGACTAACGAGCCTTTGTCTCTGTGTTTTGAAAGTGGCTGAATCTTGAACAGCTAGAGAATAAACCTGTCATTGTTTGGGATAAGAATCATGTGGGAAAACCTTTTGCAGCCAGCAGACAAAGCCTTATAAAAACGCTGTTTCCATAAGGAGACAGAGCTTAAGTGTGCGCGTCATGCGCACAGACACACATACACACACACTCTGACAGAAAGCCCAGTTAATTTGCCCTTCACGCTTCTTTGATAGTCCCTGGGTGGCACAAACAGTTAACACGCTCGACTGCTAACCTACAGGTAGGAGGTTCAAGTTCAGCCAGAGGCACCTTGGAAGAAAGGCCTGGCAATCTACTTCCAAAAGATCAGCCAGTGAAAACCCTATGGAACACAGTTCTACTCTGACACCTAGAGTCGCCATAAGTTAGAGTCAGCTGGATGGCAACTGGTTTGTTTTTTGGTTTGTTTGCTTTTATGCTTCTTCAGTGACCTCCATCCATACCACACTGCTGGCCCTGGAAAAGACCTGAAGGATGGTTGGTTGGCTGGTTTTTGCACCTCAGACATAAATTTGCAGTACACCCACACAACAACAACAGAATCAGGGAAGAGAAGGGGGAGGGCATTGTGCCAAATTTTTACAAACACTGCAAGCGGGGAGATTTGAGAGACAGCCTAAAACTTGAGAAAACACCAAGCAAGGACGATCGAAAAAGAAGCATGTGTCGTGGTGCCGTGCCACCGTGATCAGCTGCCTGGGACAGGATGCTTCTGAAACAAGGCTTTCATCTCTTTAGTGTTACCCTGTCTTTGTTTATGAAAATGGGGGCACTCATCAATATGTTAACAACTGAAAGGGGGCCGGTGCTCCCACAGGTTCGTAAAATATGTATGCTCTGTCGCTTCTAAGACTTTGATAACATTCTGTAAATGTCTTGGTTTGGTTTTGAAAATGTATTGCTAATAGATCACTGCCCTCTTATATATTATTGCGTAGCTCTCCAGACTCAGTGCACACACATTAAGGCCCTAAGACCTCGCGTTTTATGGGGCTATTTGCTTTAAAAAAGAACATTTTCTGTAAAACTCTTCGTATTTTGGATTTTTTTTTTTCCCTAAGATTCTAGGATGAGTGAGAATAAGATGTTCGAATGACAAAGGAAAACAACTCCAGGGCTAAGTTTTATCAGCAATTGGACATAAATTTTAAACTCCTCTATTTCAAGATGGCTTTGAAGTGTATTGTGCCACCTTTAAAATGTTAATTTCTCTCTCATACTAAAGAACAGAAAACCCACTCTAGTTTTAATTTTTCTTTTGTGCTACAAAGAACCATTGTACATATAATGCTATTAGATCCAGCCCCTTGGTTATTTGGTTCTGAATGGTATTTTGAATGGAAAGATTTTTCTGGTAAGCTCTCCTTTGAACTTAGAGAAAACAAAAATGTGAGGGATGGAATAAACCTAGAAAGTGAATGTTAGAATTCTCTCTCTTCTGCTGCAAACTCCTCCACCATGTAGTTGAACAAGCCCAGGAATGGATTAAAAAATCTCTCTTGGCTGCAATTTTTGACAGATCTTTTTAACTCCTACATAAACCAAGACATTTTTACCAATATTATTCCTGCGTCTGTGGTAAACACATCTTGTAAAAGTGTCTTGTCTCCAGGGAACAGGGTTTGCTGTCTTTCTTAAGCTCAGCTGTGCAGTCAGGGACGACCGCAGTCTTGTCCCCTCTCCATGCCTCCACAGAAGGAAGGCAGTGAGACACCAAGGCACCCTTGGGACACTGTAGCTCCAGAAGGCCACAGCATGAGGGTGCTCCTCGCAGCTCCTCACAGCTAATGAAGGAGCCAGAGAAGCCTCCTCTCACCGTCCCTCAGGAGTTTGCGCTGAACAGATGAAATAATAAGGAGAAACCGACAGCTAAGACTTGATTTGAAAGAGTTCCTAATATCTTCCAAGAAGGAAGCAATGTGCTTCTCCATAAAAATAGCTTATTTTTCACCACCTTAACAGTGGAACTCTAATGATGATTTTAAAGTTTGGTTATACGATGTCTGTATATTCAAGTCCCCTGAGTCCACGTCTCTTGTCTCAAATAATGACCTAAAGCTTCTCCTCACACAGACGTGACAAGATTTCCCAGCTCTTCCTGTCAGAAAGCCCACAGCCTGAGGTAACCCACAGCCTGAGGTAACCCACAGCCATGTTCCACACAGGGCAACCAGCAGGCCCCTGGTTATGAGAGCCACACTTCTCCTGAGGAATTTTCTCAGGAAAAAGACACTCCTATGGTTGCTAATGGATATCAGCCACACCTTCTGAAGGAAGCCACTCATTGAGGAAAAAAATGTAGGAAAATACTTAAGAAGGCCCAAGTTTTCCAAGAGAGGGCACCAGTGAAATTCAGCCTGGAAAATAGTTTGGGACCCAAATATAGTCTTTATCCTCCTCTTCTTCCCTTTTCTCCTCATTCATTACTCCCCATCTCTGCCAACTCATCCCAAGCTCCCACCCTGACCAGCTGCGAGAACCCAGTCGCTCAGAGCAACTGGCCTTTTGACAGGCTATGGACTCTGTCACGCACAGCGGTGTTATCTTTGCTCAAGAGTCAACTGGAAAGGCAGAAGAATCTGATTGGTGGAATATGTGAGGGAGATATTTTTGTTCAGTTATGGGACCTGCTGCCTAGGATAGCACGTGACATCCACTCTAAATTCACACAGCCACCCATCCCTGCCTCACATTCGTCAGTGACTTCAACAACCCAGAGCTCTTGGTCATCACAGCAGGGAGGACATGGATTAAAAATCCTAAAATGGGAATTTCAGAAGAGCACAGCTTCTCCTGTACCTCTGAAATCCCTGATAGCTGTGGACTCGGGGACATACCTCACTTCTCAGAGGCCATCCACGTTGTAGCAAGACATTGTAGGGTTAATTTAATTTCAGTGTGCATTGTATGAGCTTTGTATTTTCCAAACATTAATTCCTTCAATTCTTCATTTTAAAATGTGTGTATGTGCCAGGCCCTGGACCAGATACAAAGGTAAAAAAGACATGCTCCCCACCCACGAAGAGCTCACAGTTTAGTGAGTCGGACAGACCTGAACACAAGCACACACAACAGAATATATTAAGGGAGAATGTCTGTATGTCTGGGTGCAACGAGGGCTGATTCATGGTAGTGGTACATTCTGCCTGGTAGGAGACAAGAGTGAGGAAGGCTTCAGAGAGAAGGTGGTCCAGGAGCCCAGAACCAAAGAGCAGTGGGTGTCTGCCAGTGGAGATAGGATGAGCAGGGCTAGAGGAATCCTTCTAGAGAGGGCCTCTAGAACAAGGCCAGCAAACTTTTTCTGTAAGGGCCAGAGAGTAAAGTATTTTAGGCTTTGTGGGCCATGTGGTCTCTGTCACCACTAGTCGCCTCTGTGGTTGTAGCGGGAAAGCAGCCATGTTGTTAGTTGCCATCAAGTAGGCCCCCAATTCATGGTGACCCCAGGTACAACACAACGAAACACCGCCCAGTCTTCACCATCTTCTTACTCATTGGTGTGCTGGAGTCCATTGCGGCGACCACTGTGTGTTTTGAGTGCCTTCCAACATAGGAGACTTCCAGGCTAAGACTAGGAAGAAAGGCCTGTTGATCTACATCTGAACATTTGCCAGTGAAAACAAATGGATTACAGCAAACATTGTCCAATATAGTGCTGGAAAACAGCCACGGACAATGCATAAATGAATGGGCATGGCTGTATTCCAGTTAAACTTTATTTCTGGAGATAGGCAGTGGCTAAGTTTGGCCTGAGGGCCATAGTGTGCCGATCCCTGTTCTAGAACACAGGCTCAGAGACCTAGAGCAGTGCTGCAGGATTGAGGGGGGTGCTACCAGCTAAGCATAGGTGAGGCAGACCTCAGCACCCAAAAACTTGTGCTATAGCGTAGGCTGAATCGTGTTGAACGGTGCCTCGGCTAGGTGTCCGTCAGCCTGACCTTCCTGACCATGAGAATCTAATTCAGATATCTGGTTTTCCAAGAATGAGGTAAGTGCCCTTGTGTTGTCGTAACTGAAGACAATATATGATCTTTACAGTCCCTGACACTTGGGCAGTTCTACCAAAGTAATTATCTGTTTTTTCTTAAATGATGGAATTGGGCATGGGGAGGGAGAGGGGAGTGTAGGAACTAGGAAAAAGAGAGTGAATACAGATGCTGAATAATAATCCAAATCCCTTCCCTTCCTCCCACTAACACAAAACACTGTCACTAAAAAGCTAACAGATGTGTCAGGTACAATAATGGTTAAGCATGAATAAGAGCTATAGAGTCCCTGAGTGGCACAAACAGTTAAGTGTTTGACTACTAAGCAAAAGTTTGGAGGTTCAAACCCACCCAGAGGTGCTTTAGAAGAAAGGTCACAGCCAAGAAAACCCTGTGGAGTGAAGTTCTACCCTATAACACATAGGGTCACCATGAGTTGTAATTGAAATACGAAAAAATAATAAAAATAGTAATCATAGCTAGTATTTATCAAGTACTTAAACTTTGAACTGCTGGGACAAGCATATTATATTTATCAGCTCATTTAATCTCAATAACCCTGTGCGGTAAGAATGGTTATTAGCTCCAATTTGCAGATGAGGAAAATGAGACTCGAAAGGCTTCTATAACTGGCTCAGGTCACAAAGCTAGGAGTGACAGAGCTGAGATTCAAACACAGGTCTAAGAATCCAAAGCCCATATTCTTAGCCATTGTGGGTACTCCCTCCCAACTGGGCAAAATGGAAGGGACACCCCTCCCCATCCATAGGGACTGTGTCATCAGGAAGACTCTGGACCCAGTGGGCTCTGGGACCCTGCACATTCTCACATGCCCCCTGATATAACAGGTCCAGGATACCACAGTAGCTGTATTCTGGGGAAATCCTTTCTTCCTGTGTCCTTCCTGGTCTTAGCCCTGAGCCGTCAGCCTAGTGATCCATTTATATGAGGTGTTCTACCAGAAGTGGAGAGATAAGAGGAAGCAGGAGATTCACCCACTTGAATCCATACTGAAATGCACCTTCAAAGCGCCGAGATGCTAGGGAAGCATTTCTCAGGGAACCATTTCTCTGTGTTGCCTGTCAGCTCCGGAGGGCAAACCCCAGACTGCTCTTGAACCCAGCGCCACTGCCATCCACACCACCAATCCCAGAGGGAGCTCTGCCCTGGCCCACGGGCTTCAAACACACCAAAGCTGGTCGTTGGTTGGATATAAGTCTACTCTGTTCTCAGATGCTAAGCTTTTAGGAACAGAATTTCTTGACATTTTGTAATAAAGACTCAGGCCAACAGTCAATACTCTGTGGTTATCAGAAGTTTTGAATATTTTTCCATAAGGTAGAAGTGACTATGTTCTTTGACTATAGACAGATGAAACAACATAGTGTTTTCTAGAGGTTTAACATTCTGAAGGTTTAGATTTTGCTCTTCCATTAAATCCCCCCAAATAGTGTTTTTCTTAAATTCATATGAACCTAACAGAAGATGGCCCTCATGGAGATATTTGTCAAGACTGTTTGACTGTATAATCTAAGGCTACAAAATGAATTGAAAGTGTGCAACGTAGAAAGTTTCATTACAAGAGGACCCTAACGGACATACAAAGTATACTGTAGTCCCAGCACTTTACAAGTGGGAAGGAGCTAGGAGTTGTTTTGTTTTTGTTTTTGTTTTTGTTTTTGTTTTTGTTTTGAAAACCAGCCAACGCTTGAATGATATGAGTAACCACAAAGATAAAACCTTGGGTGTGTTACAGAAAGATAAACATCAGGGTCTTAAGACTCCTTCTCTAAAATAAAGCAACTCTACCACACACTCTTTAGACGGAGCTGGTGGAACGTTGAAGACACAGTCTTCTCTAAGAGCTCACCAAAACCAAACCCGTTGCTGTTGAGTCGATTCCAACTCATGGTGACCCTATGTGTGACAGAGTAGAACTGCTCCCTAGGGTTTTCTTGGCTGTAATCTACAGAAGCATATTGCCAGGCCCTTTCTTCCACAGTGATGATGGATGGGTTCAAACTGCCAATCTTTCACTCAGTAGCCAAGGGCAAACCATTTGTGCCACCTAGCAGTCATGTAATAATTTCCAGTTAACTTCCAGACATACGAGGTTGACTTTGATGGTACCCAAGTCTGATAAGTGCTCACTGATGTCTAGGTGATGGTTGTTATCTTTATCATAGTCACCATCGCTTCATGGTCATAAATTGACTAGTTCTAACAGAAAGAGGAGCTCATGTGTATTGAGAACCTACCACTTGCCCAGTGCCATAAACACATGATCCCAGGTAGTACTCCCTGCAGACCTCTCACCCCAGCCCTATAAGGTAAGAATTAGTATTCCCTCTTTACAGATCAGAAAACTAAGGCTCAGCAAAACTAAGTGACCCAGGGTCTCACAGCTAGTTAGAAAAGTCTCCAGGAGCCAATGTCCGGGTCTGACTGGCTCGCAACCAATGCTCTGGCCACCATATTGACGATCACCAAAGGGAGAACACAGAGCCAGCTGTTGGAGAGGCCTCTCTGAAGCCAACAGGGCACGTACTATCGGGAACTCCCCCTCCCTCAGAAGGAATCTAAGCTCAGGAAAACTTTCACTGTAATGATCATACATTGGAGCCCCTTCAGAAACACCCTTCCTTCCTTCTTCAGCCATAACCACATCAGCACAGGTTTTCTAGCCACTCGTTGTGGTGGATTCCGACTCACGGTGACCCCACGCATGCAGAGTAGAACTGCTCCATGGGGTTTTCCAGGCTGTGACTTTTTGGAAGCAGATTGCCAGGCCTGTCTTCCAGGGCGCCTCTGGGTGAGTCGAACCGCCAACCTTTCAACTAGTGGTAGAGCAATTAACCATTTGTGCCACCCAACCGCTCATTAACCTCTTATATTCAGAGCAAGAACCAACCCCAGCTCTCTTGCGGCTGCTCCCTGCCCCCAAAGCTCCCAGCAGAACCCGCAAGACTACAAGAACTTGAGCCTTGTGAAAGTTGAGAAAGAATGCTTCAAATACGCAGAACATATGTGCTGCTGCTTCTATAGGCTCAAGCTCAGCTGCAAAATCCTGAGGAAAGGAGTGACGTTTCTGAACGCTGTCACCTTTTGTACCATCGGGTCAACGTGTAAAGAGAAATAAATGAACTGGGACTTTATGGCCCCACCGTGCCCACCATTAAACAGGAAAACTTCATGTTATGGCCAATGAGACTGGCATGGCCTGTAAATAATCCCAGGGACCGAGCTGGATTCGTAATGCTTTTTAAATGAAGTCACAGCATCTATTTTGAAAGTGTGGCATTGGCTCAAAAACCTAGCTCCAATAAGGCGATTGTTTCACTCAGCGCGTGGGGAATATCTGTGGCTGCATGAATAACAAACAGATCCAAAATGCTGGGGGAGAAAACACGGCATCATGATGCTGGGTGGTTTTCTCTGGCATGAAGCCACCTCTTCAATGACAGTGCACAGTGACACTGAGAGCCGGAGAACATCAGCTCTGTCACGGGCGATTTACATGGGATAAGGATAAGTTAATGACTGGGGTACTTTTTATTTGTCCCCATAGAAGAAATACCCACTTGGGGTGTTGGTGTGGACATCTAGATCTTTATGCTGCTCAGAGAGATTGGGCCATCAAAGAGATCCTTGGGGCTTGGAGTCTGGTCCCTTGGTGTTCCCAAACCAAACCAAACCCTTTGCTGTCAAGCCAATTCTGACCCATGGTGACCCCATGTGGTGCATAGTAGAATTGTGCTACATAGGGTTTACTTGGCTGTGATGTTTATAGAAGCAGATCGCCAGGCCTTTCTTCCGTGGTGCCACTGGGTGGATTTGAATCACCAACGTTTAGGTTAATAGCTGAGCACAAACAGTCTGCACCACCCAGGGACCCCTCCCTTGGGGTTGCATGGAGGGAAAAGCAGCACTTGATTGACCTAAACCCCTGCTCTTGTCCACTCCACCCAGAAGTGGATGCTGTTAGATAAGCCTAAGAAATAAATAGGAAAAGCAGAAAAGACCGATCTCTTTTTCCTCTTGGCTCTTCTTCCCTCCTCCCCCTTTAGGCACAGAGTACCAAGACATTGAGACCGAG